TCAGGAAGCAGTATTGGTTCCCCAGGTGTCTGGGGCCCCAAGACTAGGAATGGCACAGGGCCCAAACTAGGAGTATAGAAGGGGGGGCGATGGAAGGGTGAATGTGGCTTAGGGAGTCCCGCAGAGAGCTGTGCTATAGACCTACCCCAGGAGGCCTGAGGATAGTAGTACAGGCTAGGAGAGTTAGCCGGTGGTGCAGGCTCAGGGAAGCAGGTAGAGGTGAGGGCGGGCCCAGGACCAGAAGCGGTGCTCCTGGCGCCCAAGAACGGGACTGAGTTGCTCTGTGTGAGAAGGATCAGGAAACAGTATTGGTTCCCCAGGTGTCTGGGGCCCCAAGACTAGGAATGGCACAGGGTCCAAACTAGAGTATAGAACAGCGGGCGGGGAGGCAGGGGCGTGGGGGTAAGGGTGAAGGGTGAATGTGGCTCTGGGAGTCCTGGTGTGGAGAGCTGCGCTCCCAACACATTCTTAAGCAATATATGAAAAAAAACATAAGGGAAATGAATAAATGACTTGGGGGAAGTTAAAATAAACTAAACATAGGGGCCCCAAGACTAGGAATGGCGCAGGGTCCAATCTAGGAGTATAGAACGGCGGGAGGGATGGAAGGGTGAATATGGCTTAGGGAGTCCTGGCGCGGAGAGCTGCGCTCCCAACACATTCTTAAGCAATATATGAAAAAAAACATAAGGGAAATGAATAAATGACTTGGGGGAAGTTAAAATAATATACACACTAAACATAAAGTTAGTAGAAAAGAGTAAAGTTTAACAAGAAGTTAATTAAATACAGAATAGAAACAATAACATCAGTGAAAACAAATGATCTTTGAAAAGTTTACTAAAATTGACAAATCTTTATCCAGATTGACTAAGAAAAAAAGAGAAACTATTAAAACTATTTAATCACAAGTGAAAGGAAAAAGACATCGCCACAAACCTTATCAAGTAAACAAAGTACAAGGGAATGCTCAAAATGTAATACAAAAACTGTCTAATGGATAAATGCACACATTTTAGAAGATACAAAATTGTAAAGTAATCACAAAAAAGTCTTAAAAATCTGAAAGAGCCGGGCATGGTGGCACACGCCTGTAGACCCAGCACTTGGGAGACAGAGGCAGGCAGATCTCTGTGAGTTCAAGGCCAGCCTGGTCTACATAATGAGTTCCAGGACAGCTGGGGCTACAGGGAGACCCTGTCTCAAAAAGACCAAAAAAAAAAAAAATCTGAATAGAATAATGACATTTAAAAACACCAAGTCTGTAATCAAACATCTTCCCATACAGGAAAATGGAGGACAAAGACTTTACCAGAAAACTCTCCTGAACATCTGATCCTCAATTTCTTTTTTCTTTGCTTAGTTGTTAAAAGGTTTCCTTTAGTGATGATACCTGAGACACTTGAAACAATAATTCAAATCTACTTAATGTTACTGAATTATGCACCTTAAATTGGCTGAAAGAATAAATTTATATTAGTAATTTTTTTTTACCAGAATAGTTTTAGAGTTTAAAATCTAATGATCAGATTTCCATTTCTAAAATTTGTATTAAGAAAAAAATTCAACCAAATCATCTGTTTTATACTCTCTTTACTTTAAGGTTGTGATTTTTATTATTAATTTTTTGTTATCGTGTATATGCATGATATGTGTCTGGGCTTGTGCCCCAGTGTGCATTTGGAGGTCAGAGGAAATCGTTTGACAGTCAGTTCTTTCCTACCACCATGGGTTCTGGATGTACAAAAAGAAGCTTCTCTGACTAAGGTTGGAAGCAGCACTAACCTATAGTGTGTTAGAGGCTGTGGACTCTATCAGCAACTTCCCAGGGGCTTCCTGCTTTTCACTGCAAGATTGGGACTGCTGAGGCGGGGGCTTGTTAGATGAACTCCTTAAGCCATTCCTTGCAGTCCCCCGCTGAGCTCTGCCATAAAAAGTCAGATAGATCCTTGTCATTTTCCCACTTATCTTTCATCCACCTGGATCCAGGATGATCCTCTGTCCAATTTCTATTGTCTGAGTCAATGTGGAACATTTTCTGTCCATTGAGGCTAAAGTCCCAGTATCCGTGCATGTGCCCCACAGGCTGAGGGGCTCTGCCCCCAACAGAAAGAGCTCAGGCTGTGGTATAGACAAATCCTTTGTCTCCCTGTGCCCTCTTCATTCCCATCCTTATCTCTTGACCTGCTCTCTCCTCCACATTTGGCCTTGCTGCTAGACTCTAGGGTGGTACCATCCATGTTGTTTGCCATGAAAACAATGAATGACCTTAACCTGTCACAAAATCAGCTCTCTCTTGCAGGGGTCATGTGAAACTTACTTCTGATTGTTATTGTTCTCAATCTTAAGGTCAGGTAGTTTCTCTTTGAACAGGTCACTCGCATCTTTTAGAAAGTCAGATTGTTTCCCCAAGATCTGTGTGGCATTCAATCTATTTTCCAGAAGAGTGAAAAACTGGTACTTGTTACTGCTGCTGTTGTAGTCAAGAAAAATTTTCTTGTTCAGCAGGACTTGGGCTCCATTCAACCATGATCCAGTTTCAGACTTACAGACAGTAAAGTTGGAGCAAAGAGAGGGAGCATCTGTGGAGAAAACATGGGTAAGGCTTGGGGTGGGGAGCAAGGGAGCCAGAGACACTATGTTTGTGGCACCAGGAGAATCCTGGAAAGTTGTGACAAAAAAGGAAAACAAAAGAAAAAGTCCCTGGGGGCTAGAGAGATGGTTCAGTAGTTAACACGATTTGGATTTGCTGCTGTTCTGGAAAACCCAAGTTTGGTTCACATATCAGCTAACAACCATCTGTAACTCCAGTGCTGGGGATCTGATGTCTTCTGGCCTCTCCCTCCCCCCACTAGGCACATATATAGTGCACATACATGCATTCATGCAAGCACTCATACACATAAATAAAAAACCAAATATTTCTTTAATCCCTGCCTAGCACCCCACTGCACCCTTAAAGTCTAATATTTCTCCTTGGCTTGAAGAGCAGGTTAAGGCCTGGCCAACTTCTGCTCTCCACTAGGACAATCCCCACATCTGTTAGCACATGACTTGTAGCATAATACCAGGTTTGTTATGGAAGGAAAAGGTCTGGATGGCCTTTCTGGTTCCATCCATTCTGGAGAATCTCCAGAAGCTGTCTGTGCAGATGTGGATACAGGACAGTGTGTGTGCAGGCCAGGGTGGAATCTAAGTTGGAGAGTTTATTGTGATGAGATTACTCTTTCAAGTCGTAGGAGCCTGGTTCCATCCATTCTGGAGAATCTCCAGAAGCTGTCTGTGCAGATGTGGAGACAGGACAGTGTGTGTGCTGCTCTGGAAGATCAGTAGATTCAGGCCAGGGTGGAATCTAAGTTGGACAGTTTATTGTGATGAGATTACTCTTTCAAGTCCTAGGAGTTAACACATTTTATAATTATCTTTTTACTGTCAATTTGATGGAGCCTAGAGTCACCTGAGATTAGCGTTTCAGTAGAGAGACCTCCCAGATCAGAGTGGCTTGTGGATGTCTATGGGGCATTGCCCTGCTTGTTAATTGACTTGATATGGTCCATCCCACTGTGGGCATCACCATTCCCTGGGCAGTTTGTCCTGGGCTGTATAACAAAGCTAACCCTGCAGGAGCCAGTGAGCCAGTGAGTCAGAAAGCAGGACCTCCGTGGATCCTGCTGTGCCTCTTTGGCTGTGAGGGGAGTTTGTTGGTCAGAGGTAATTCTGTGTGGAAGAGCAAGCAGCCTCCTGAGGTATGAGGAAGACCGTCTTTAGAGCGACCCAGGCCTTGGGTGTGGTCATGACCTTTGCCCATCACATCTGGTCTGTGGGGCTGGGGCTTTTCTAGCGATTCTGCTTATTGATCCTTCCCACCCTCAGTACCTTTTTGTTTAAGGTTTCTTCTTCTAAGCTGTGGAGGAGGGAATAGGGCAGGGTGAGATTGAGGAACAATGGAGCCAACTGGAAGGAGCCTGCGGGGTCAGTGCACAGCTGAGGAGGTTGGAGGAGCAACCAGACAGGAATGCTATCTACAGAACTAGGTGGCGGGTATGGTCCTCTCTTTTCCCCAGTTGCATCCTGGAACTCACCTGCAGCCCCAGCGGTGCACAGAGAGCTCAGCAGGACCAAAAGGCGCAAAGCCAGGACACAGTGATCAAGCTTGGCTGCTGGTGCTCATGCCATGGTTCCTTTTCCAGACCGGCCAGCAATAGATGTGACTTGAGCTTTCAAGAGAGAGAAAACTTATGCATTCCTGCAGACGACCGGCACACAGAGAAGTCCCAAAGTTCCAGAAACCTGGGGCTTGAGTCCAGTCAGTTATCCATGCCCCTGTCTTCTCCCCCCCCGCCCCCCGTCTGGTGTCACCAGGTCAGTTCCGAGTTGCCAAATGTTTCTCTAGATCCCATCGGGGTCGCTCCTGGGTCCTCGTGGCTCTGGTCCCCTCCTCTTTCTAGAGGAGGAACGGCCTCTTTTCTGCCCCACACCTGGCCAGGGAGGAGGGGACCTGAACCAACGCAATGGATGCTCCACCCAGGTCTGGTGATACAGGCTTTGCCACCTGCTACTCACCAAGTCCAGCCCCCTCCAGTCATAGCCTTTCCATCCCAGGTTCACCGCCAACCCCAGTCTTGCCTAGCACACACTTCCTATCTTCCAAACAGCACAGGTCCTCCTGGGTTCCCTTCCCTCCTGGGTTCCCCTTCCTTCCTGGGTTCCCCTTCCTTCCTGGGTTCCCCTTCCCTCCTGGGTTCCCCTTCCCTCCTGGGTTCCCTTCCCTCCTTCTTCCCTCTTCTCCCGAAGCTCTGTATCCTTCCTTGTACTTAGTGACTCGTTGAAGAAAATTGTTGGCCTGCTTGATTCTCTAGCACAGATGGTAAAAACTGGATGGTTATAGAAATTAGCATGGTCCCTGCTCCAGGATGACACAAATTCATGAAGAATTCCATATTTTTCAAAGATTCTGCAGACTGACTAGAACCTCTTGACTGTGGACAGTCCAATGTTGCAGACTGAGAGCCAAATTACATTGAGCTGTCTTTAGTCTCTTCAATAGGCTTTGCTACCAACCTTATATCTTACCTAATATCTTTATGATTATTAGGGAAAATTTTAGGAATGTATTATTGAGAAGATCTCTGGATTCCACCAGCTCTAAAGCCAAGAACGTTATATTGTAGGATAACGCCTGAAAGCTGTAGAATAGGTTCCTTTATTCTGCTATAACCAACCTACCTGATGTCTCGACAATATGCATTGATTGGTATATGCATTGATTTCTTTCTATTGTACTATAAATGTAAAAATTCATGTAAAAGCAAATCATGTCATTCAGAGTAATCCTGAATCTG